GCTTTTATTGTTTAGGGAGCCTGTGGGGTTTCTCTGACCAACACAGATTGATTTTTTTCCTTTGGAGAGTCATGTCAAGAATGTAATTTTGAGCCAAGAAGGCAGGCACATTGTGCTACTAACAGCTAATAACATGTCACAAAACTAAAGACTCATTTTTATCAACCTACAAAGAAAATACTGACAAAATGTTTGAGAAAATGAACCAAAAAATGCTCTATTTTGTTAGTAATGCATTAAAACTATAATTAAAGGCACTGCCCCAAGATAAATGGCATAGAGGAAACAATCCAAAAAATTAATAAGATAAAAAATATACTATGGAATGGTGGCTACTTGGAACATTATTAACAATAACTTAGCATTACTTGATAGGATGTCTAAAGGGGAATCAGTAGAACAGAGTTTACAAAGAATCACTGGTCTGTCAAGCCGGTAATAAAATAATCTGTTCAAAATTGAAGAACAATGCTGAAGGAAAGGGCTGCCAAAAGCCACACTGACGGTGCTGGTGAATAAGCAGAAGGAGTACATGTTCACGCAGATTCCAGGAACACAGCTCTGCATCCTACACACACAATAGCCGTCCATATTCACTGACATCCAAATGGTAAACTGAACACAATCAAACTTGCTAGCATTTGCTTCTTTTCAACCAAGCATCACTGCACTAATGAAAGCTAAAATGCGTGCTACTAAAATGCTTACAGGCTCAAAGAAATGTAATTTTAGGAAATCATGATTAAACATTACGCATTAGTGGCTGCAGAGATGGCTAAGTAGTTATGAGTACACACTACTCTAGCAGAGGACCTAAGCTCAGTTCCCAGGAACCAGGTGGATTAGCTCACAACAACCTGTAAAACAAAACACCAGAAAATTTGCTGCCCTTCTCTGGCCTTCGTGTGCACTTTGCACTCATGTGCACATACAAACATACACAGGTATACATAATTAAAAATAATATTAAATGAAATGAAAAAATTAATGATAGATGTATCAAATAAAATGCAATTCCTACTTTAAAATATTTGGTATAAAACAATGGAAGACAGCATAGCAGGTAGAATACTAGTCATACAAACTTGATGATACCTAGTTTGACCCCTAGAATCCATGTTTTAAAGGCCAGATAATTGCATCATAATTCCTTTACTATTGCAGCGAAAGAGGCAGACACTAAAAAATCTCCCTGAAACTCAGAGGTGCTAAGTCTGGAGCATGCAGTAAACAGAAGAAACAAGAGACCCTGCCTCAACAAGGTGGAGACAAGAACTGCCTTTTAAGAGCTGTCCTTACACACACATGCACCCTAGTGTGTGTCTCTCTCATACACACACACACACACACACACACACACACACACACACAGTAAACATTTAAATTTTTTGACAAGAAAATAAATTATTCAGCTTAAAATCAATTACCAAAATATTTTAGAAATTATATTTTTAAACAGAAGTGTGGAAGTGAAAGATTTTTAAATTTTTCAATTATAATTTAAAGGAACAGAATTGTTTTAATTCACAGCAACAGTAAGGAAAAAGTCTCATACATTTAAAAAAAACAGCTATCTGTTGTTTCCTACTGCTGTTGGTGTGAGCTAATTGTTTTATTGTGGCGAAGAATACTAACTGGACAGTCTTGTCACAAACTGCACGACAGTGTTTCAAGCAAAAAATTATTAAATTTCACTATATAATTTATTTTATAAGGCTTTGATTTAATGTTCTTTACTACACAGTGCATATATAGATATATGCAAGATCTGTGTAGATCTGTGCATAAATGAATACATAAATTATGCATGTATATATGTAAAATACAAACACTCAATATAGTAAAAACATTTAATAAATGCTTCCATCTAACGTCATAAGGATACCTCTTAGCTTATTCTTGCTTGTATAGTATTTCTTTGTCAATGAGAAATTACCAGGAAGCTTAACAGAACTGATGTCATTTTTATCTCCTTCCAGTTGAAGATCTTAACAAAATGCAATAAATAAATAAACAAATAAAAACATACAATAATGTGTTTTTCTCTAATGTAATCTCTGAGATTTCACACGAATAGCAAATTCTTTCAAAATGTAGTATTTCAAAGGCCTGGGGGTATTAACAGCTCAGTGGCAGAGTACTTGCCTGGTTTGCACACATCTAGAGTTGAAGCTCTAGTCCCATAAAATAGCAATGACTGGTGGGGATATTATTTTAAGGTGTGTGACTTTCGTTTGTGCTGCATTTCTTCAACTCTGTGAAGCTGTGTTACTGTGCCTATCTAAAATATCTGATGGTCTAATAAAGAGTTGAAGGACCAATAGTGAGGCAGGAGAGAGAGATATATGCGGGACAGGCAGGCAGAGAGTATAAATGTAAAGAGAAATCTGGGAGAAAAAAAAAGATCTGGGAATGAAAGAGGCAGGAGGAGGACCTCAGAAATCAGCCACCCAGATATACAACCAGACACGGAGTAAGAAGGGAAGAAAAGGTATACAGGAATAGAAAAAGATCAAAGCGCAGAGGCCAAAGATAGATGGGATCATTTAAGTTAAGAAAGACTGGCAAGAAACAAGCCAAGTTAAGGCTGGGCATTCATAACTAAGAATAAGTCTCCATTTGTGATTTATGTGGGAGCTGGGTGGTGGGTCCTCCAAAAAGCCTAAAGAGCCCAAAAGAGTAAAACACAAAACAACAAATGATAATAATAATAATAATAATAACAACAATGACAACATATCAATAAGTCCTCAGAATAGATTTCTAAAATGTATACATATAGGTTTTCTCTTCTGTAAAATATGATTACAATTTCTATAGTAAATGTTTTTCTGATACTATAGCCTAACCATCAAGAGTATCTTACAAAGCAACACTAAAGCATATGCAAAACCTTTAGTCCATTATTGCTAACAAGGTATGGTAACTTTAATTTTAGACTTCTAGCTTATTATCTTATTTCTATTTCATGCAAATGCTTCTATGATTAAATATCTCTCAGTCCATTATCATTAAGTAAGATAACCTTCAAGAGAAAAGATCAAGTCTGTATTTTCAGAGAGAGTCCATCAAAAAGCAAGCGGGCCATCCCAGGGCTCTGTTGGCTCATCCCAACTATAGGCCTCCAACTCTGAACTACAGCCCAGCCCTCCTCTACCTATGGAGGATCTCAATCTCCACAGGTGGAAACTCCACCCCCCCGCACAAATTATTGGTAAAGACTCACTCTTCCTCCTTTGGGAACACTAGCTACCCAGGAACTCTTCTGCCCATACTGGCAACTGAGCCTTCCCCTTCCTCTCCCTAGGACATTCCATCATCTGAAGACCTACATCAACTACCTGCTAACTCTGCAGGAACAATCCAAGACCCTCTCAACCCATCAGCTGTCCCTCAGCTCCATCTCTTTAGCATCTGTCATCATCTAAAGACTTGCACTGCAGCATGTGCTAGCCCCAAATAAAGTGGCTTTACAGACTTACATAGTGGTACCTTAATCCTGTTGAATCAGGACACTTGTTGGTTCTACTCACTCCCACGAGAACCTGCTAATGTAGCTGAAGCTATGTTCTTCCCTGGATGAATGGGAATCACATTAGTAATTCCATACAAGTTGGTACCATGTGGCTACAAGACTAAGCTTTAAGTATTTCCTAGCTGATCCCAAACCTTCCAAGTCAGGGTAACAGTCAATACAGAACAAATGTCTACTTCCCATGGGTGAGTCAGAAACTCATATATACAACCAGTGACTTAACTCCAGATGCACAGGTCTCACTGCAAAAACACAAACAATATGAAAACCAAGACAGTATGTCCTTTCAAAATGTTACAGTCCTATAGTAATGGTTCAAAATCAGAACAACTTAGTTGAAATTCAAGACATAAAATTCAATAGGACCAATATAAACATGCTCGAGGAGGTTGCTTTCCATATTCTGGGAAAGCGCTATGTGAGTTGCTGGAGGCTAAGAGGTATCTAGACTTACCCATGCAGGAACTCTACAAAACCTGATACTACCCTGCCAACAAGATATGCTCACTGGTGCTACAGTGGCACAGCTGTTATAAGGGTAGTCAACCACTCTTACTGTGTTCAAGGCCTATTCCTCTTGAGGGTATTCAAACCTGGTACCATCCCTGGGAGGAATTTACTACTGTTGTTCAGCTAAATTGACTATAGTGTCAAACTGATTCATAAATATTTATGCTTATAGTCATAGAAAAATACTATTCTTAATAGTATCTCAAACTTAACCTGAGAATCTCTTCCTTGCAATGAATGGTAAATAGAGAGCTTTATAGCCCCTTACCACACAGAGAATATGTGATGGTTGAGTGCTTAACCCTAAGAGGACATTTATACTGTCCTCTCTAAAGTTCCGGCAGTATCACAGAACACAGGGCTTAAAGAGTGTGAGAGCCAGAAACAGATATAAAATGCTATTTTCTGTGCATGACACCGTCACTGCCATCAACATCCCACAGAAACTGTGATGGTCTTCACTAGGTCGCTACAACACTAGGCCCATCAAAAGTCAAACAGGGGTCAGGAAAAAGCTTATGGGACCCTACCTGCTCTGGCTGGACTACGGACTACTAATGAATTCTAGGGGAAGGATGGTCATTTCTCCAATTGCTCACCCACAGGTGAGCAATGGATAACTTCAAACCCATGGTCACAAGGATGTTCCTAGCTAAGCCGGTATGAGAAAAGAAAGCAAAAAGCTATGAATATGGGAAAGGAACCTGAAGGAAGGAAGGGGTGAGCTGACAGGGTGGAAAAGAGAAATGAGGTGAGTCAAGAGTAATCGTAATACATTGTATACATACATGAAACGGCCAAAAACAGGTTTGATATAAGTTATAGTAATATCATTCAGGTAGGAAAGTGAATAAGAATTATTAGGACACAGTGTATATATAAGATTATACCCTAGTAAGGTTAAATATGGTGTTTAAATTCAACTCTCCTTTAAAAACAAATGTTTACATCTTACAGAAATATGCAGCCTTGGTACCCAAAGGAAAGCAGAGGTCAGAAGCCTGGAGAAATGCTGAAGAAACTGGAACGTCTTCTCTTTATCCCCCAGCATTATGATGAACAGCGAAGACACAAACCAGTCATGGCCTGGGTAGCTCCCTTGCAGGCGCACTGCAGAACAGTTAAGGAGCTTCCACGTTATCTTAGGAGATACACAATTGCATAAATACTCACTTTTAGAATTTTTATTTGGAAAGAAATATTAATTGTATATATGTAGTAAATCACTTTACTCAGTTTTAAGATTCCACGAGTACAACTGAGTCTAAGGATCACAAGTCAATTTATTAAAACGTATGTTCAAAACACAGATTAAAATCCTATAAGAATAAACTGTAACAAATCACACAGCAGCTATTACTTATTACAGATATGTAAACACATCCTTAGAAAAAACTGTGGGAAGTATAGGAAGATAATCTTGTTCTGCATAAATCCACTCAAAAAGGATATGAAGAGAAGAAGTTACTGGTGACTGCTGTTGTTTCAGGAATCTCTCACAGTGCTTTAAGACCAAGGCGAGATCATTTTCTGCGCCATCTTTCAACACGTTGAGAAACTTACCATACCTATGTAAAAGACCCCCCCATATGACACAGAATGAAAACTATCAGGATCTTCACTGCACATTCATCTTTAGACATCCATCAAAATATATTTCTCTTGAGACCTCAAAGTCTGAAGTTTAAGATGCTACTTCTAGGGTGACGACATTAGACAAGGCACTCAGTATTCACTCCTGATAGGTAGAACAGGATCAGCAGTATTAACTCTTACTATTCTAGGGTAGTGAAACAGAAATCAGAAAACAAAATGACAGCAGACTACAGATGAGAACCATGTAAGAAGTTTTTCTGAAATTAATCCAAAACATAGATTACTGAGTTTAGGTTTATGGGATGTTAACTCAAGAAGTTCCTGTGGAGGTCATCTACGAATACTGGGTATCAGAGGGCTGTGGACATTTTGGGTTACGATTAGGACAGTACTGTAACATAACTTGAAATGTCTTGGTGTTTACATGGATCAAACAGCTATTTATAATTAGCTAAAACTAATTCAGTCTAAGTTATCTATCTAAGTTCCTATATTTTAGGCACACTAAATGGATATGTTGTTTGTTTGAGTTCCAGCTTCCTAAGACCTCACTTGGTCTGTATTTTCAGAACTCTCCTTCTTAGTGGTAACACTCTAGTGCATTTATTGTTTTTGTTGCTGCTATTATCTCAATGACTCTACAGGATGGTAGCTGCACTATACCACAGTCTAGCCAAACTCTCCACTATGCATTATTTTCCATTTACTTTCTATGAATAAGAAATTACATTGAATTAAAATATATGACCAAGCTGCTTATTTAATCTATAGGTTTCATTTAATTGGAAATGGAGCAGTACAGTATATTTTTATTAATATGGAGTCACATAATATAATCAAAACAGTTACTCTGGTAGAAGTGGATGATCCAGAATCCTCGCCATGATTTTCATCACAAAGGGCATTTACATAAGTCTCAAGTGTTTAATAAATCTCATAAGTGCCTTCCTAGACATGAAACAAATGGCCTATAATTCCAACACAATAGTTAAGAACCTCGTATTAAACGAGGTTTGTTAAAACAAAAGAAAAGGAGGCTACTATCCAGTTCATGATCTACTGTACTCACTTCTTTTGAAAATTAATTTATGAGTTCTAAAAACTCAAACTGACAATTTTGGTTTAATCATCTGAACTTCTCAGTCTGTCCTTAAAGTATGTTTGTCTTCACCGGGACCTGACAACTAGAACAAATCGTGTTTTAAAAGATGTATAACTGAGCCATAACATTTTGATTTTTGCAATGCTGATTTTTTTTCATGGAAAACAACTGATAGTCATAGAGGAACACACTAATTAGCTTTCAGAATAGTAATGAGCTGAAACTGATTTACAGCCGGAGGTAATTTAATCATGTGCCAATATCCTCAAAGATAACACTATTATTTTCTGAGTGAGAGACTCTGCATTTAAAGGCTACAAAATAGTTGATTGTTAAATATTATTGAGCACACATCAGGCAGATGAATTCTAGGGACGCACAGGGGAGACGCCTCCCCACATACCTGACAGCCGCTTCAATGCCAAGCTGCTGCACAGACGAGAGACTTTCATTCCTCACATCTGCATCAGTAGCTGACAACAATAGAAAAGGGAGCTATGAAAATGTAGAAAAGTCTGCATAATAATCACATCTTAATTGAAAATTGATGAAAGCAATATTTTTCCATATTTTAATGTGAATTTTGAAAACACTGATGAATTTGTTCTGTTAGGAGCTGTCACTTACAGTTTCAAAGAAATTAACAGGAAACTTTTTACAGAAACTTTTATCCTGCAAAAATCATTTAGAACCTGGGAGTAGTAGAACACACACTGACCAGCACAGGGAAGCCAGAGGCAGGAGGATTAGAATTTCAGGGCCATCTGTGGATAAACTGCAAGCTCAAGGCCAGCCTGGGCTACATAAGACCCTAGTTCCAAAAGAAAATGAAACCAAAAAGTATAGAAAATGATTAGTTCTTTGGTGCAAAACAGTAAAAATGAACAAAATATAAAAAGTTATAAATTATTAAAAAGTGATCTATGTTTTCCTCACGCAACACTTAGGTATATGTGAACATGGCTCTATTTTCCATCCTGTCATCCATGGTGAAATCTTTCAGTAAGCCCTATAGTATGTGCTAACTTCCAGACATGGTACGGCTACTTACTCACCATCTCACAGCAGCTAGGATTACTTGCACAGGACCTTCACAAGATCAGGCTAGTCTAACTCCAGCATGGATTGGTGATGGGAGATGAAGCTCCACCCCTAGTGAAGGAACACGGTGGATGGTTCCTGAGAGAGAGCGTATGTGTTGCTCTCTTTTGAGAACATGGCTGCTGGTAGGTTCTTGCCTGAGTAGACAGCCCCACACCCATGAACATATGGGCAGCACTAATTGGACTCAAGGGGTTATTTGGTTACATTAATAAAAAGAGGACATGATGTTCACAAGAAACCAGGATGGGGCAATTGAGAAAATTAGAGGGAGGGATGTAGATGTATATGATAAAAGTACATTTTATAAATGTATGATGTATACAAAGAAAAATTTTTTAAATCTTTGAGGGCTAAGATATATAGTTCCATAGTAAACTACTGGCCACTGGGTCCAATAATCAAAACCACACTCACCATCTTTAAGCAGACCATAGTCAACTTTTACCGAATAAAATTACATTGGGGTTGAATTCATGGATTTCACTTTCATAACAGATTTTCTTTGTGAAGTAAGAATTGTGATCACCCCAGAGACACAGCCCCAACTACACCAATCAGAGGAAAAGATGGGTAGACAACATAAAAACACACTCAACACCACAAAGAGCAACACAACACCAACAAAAACTATGGTCCCGCAATAGCAAGACTTGAACACCCCAATATAGATGAAGCAGAAGAAAATGACCTAAAAAATTAACTTTAGAAGAATGTTTGAGGCCCTTAAAAAGAAAATGAAAAATTCCCTCAAATAAATGAAGGAAGAGACAACCCAAAATTTGGAAGAAAACAACAACTCCCTTAAAGAAAACCAAGAAAAAAGCAATCAAACAAATGAAAGACATAATTCAAGACTTGAAAACCAAAATAGAGACAATAAAGAAAACACAAACTAAGGGCAGTCTGGAAATAGAAAACATGGAAAATTGATCAGAAACCACAAATGCACCATGAATAGCAGAATACAAGAGATGAAGAGAGACTCTCAAGTGCTGAAGATACAATAGAGGAAATAGACTCATCTGTCAAAGAAACCATTAAATCTAATGAAAGCTAAATACAAAATATGCAGGAAATATAGGACACTATGAAAAGACCAAACCTAAGAATAATAGGGATAGAAGAAGGAGAAGAAATTCAACCCTAAAGCACAGAAAAAAAAAAATCAACAAAATCATGGAAGAAAACTTTCCCAACCTGGAAGAAAACTTTTCCAACCTAAAAAAAGATATGCATATGAGGAAGCTTATAGAACACCAAACAGACTGGATCAAAAAACAAGTCACATTACCACATAATAATCAAAACATTAAACATGCAGAATAAAGAAAGAACATTAAGGAAAATGGTCAAGTAACATATAAAGGCAGAACTATCAGAATTATACCCGACTTCTCAATGGAAATGATGAAATCCAGAAGGTCCTGATCAAGCGTTATGCAGACATTAAGAGACCATGGATGCCAGTCAAGACTGATATACCCAGCAAAACTTTCAATCACCACAGACAAACAAAACAAGATATTCCATGACAGAACCAGATTTAACCAATACCTAGCCACAAACCCAGCCCTACACAAAGTACTAGAAGGAAATATTTAACCCAAGGAAATTAGCTACATAAACAAAAACACAGAGAATGGCTTATCTCACAGCAGCAAATCCCAACCGGGAAAACACTCACAATAACATCACCAATACCAAAAACTAAAATATCAGGAACTAGCAATCACTGACCATTAATATTCCTTAATATAAATGGACTCAAGTTACCTATAAAAAACACAGCCTAACAGATTGGATATGAAAACAATATCCGCTGGGCAGTGATAGCACACGCCTTTAATCCAAATACTCAGAAGGCAGAGGAAGGCAGATCTCTGTGAATTTGAAGCCAACCTAGTCTACAAGATAGTTCCAGGATAGGCTCCAAAGCTACAGAGAAGCCTTGTCTCAAAAAATAAACAAAAACAAAAACAAAAACAAAAAAACAAAAAGAAAACACTATCCTTCTGCTGCATGTAAGAAACATACTTTAACCTCAAAGACAGACATCACCTCAGAATAAAGGATTGAGAAAAAATTTTCTAATCAAATGGACCTAAGAAACAAGCTGGTATAACCATCCTAATATCTAACAAAATAGACCTTGAACTAAAATCAATCTAAAAAGACAATGAAGGACATTTCATATTAGTCACAGGAAAAATACATCAAGAGGAAATCTCAATACTGAACATCTATTCCCCAAATACAAGGACACCTTCATCTGAAAAAAAAAGCATTTCTAAAACTTAAATCACACAATAAACCCTACACCCTAAGAGTGAGAGACTTTTTAAAAGACCCACTCTTACTACTGGACAGGTCTGCCAGACAGAAACTTAACAGAAATAAGGGAACTAACAGATGTTATGACTCAAATAAACATTACAGACATCTACAGAACATTCCATCCAAACAGAAAAAAATATACCTTCTTCTCAGCACGTCATGGTACCTTCTCAAAAATACAAGGTAACAAAGCATACCTCAACAGATTCAAAAAAAAAAAAGCTGGAATAACCCCATGTATCTTATTGAATCACCATGGCTTAAAATTAGAAGTCAACAGCAACACTAATTTCAGAAAGCCCACAAACACATGGAAATTACATAATGCTCACCTGAATCACCAATGGGTCAAGGAAGAAATAAAGGATGAAATTAAAGACTACCTAAAATTCCATGAAAATGACCACTCAACATACCCAAATTTATGGGCTACAATGAAAGCAGTGTAAATGCCAACATAAAGAAGCTAGAAAAATCTACTAGCTGTAAAAAAAAGAAAAACAAAAAACAAACTAATAAAAAAACAGTAGTGAGTTAACAGAACACCTGTAAACTCAAAAATAAAAAGAAGCAAACTCACTCAGGAGGACTAGACAGTAGGAAATATTCAAATTGAAAAGTGAATTCAGCAAAATAAACAATGAAAACAATACAAAGAAACAATGAGACAAAGAGTTGGCTTTTGAGAAAATCAACAAAATAGACAAACCTTTATCTAAACTAATTAAAAGTCAGAGAGAGAATATCCAAATTAACAAAATCAGAAATGAAAAGAGGGACATAACAAAAGGCATGGAGGAAATCAAGAGAATCATCAGGTCATATTTCAAAAACCTGTACTCAAAAGTATAATCAAAATTGGAAAGCTTAAAGGAAATGGACAATTTTCTGGATAAATATCACTTACCAAAATTAAAGCAAAACTAGATAAGCAAATCAAATAGACCTATAACTGCTAAAGAACTAGAAACAATCATCAAAAATCTCCCAAACAAACAAACAAAAAAAGCCCAGAAGCACATGGTTCCAGTACAGAATTCTACAATATTTTCAGAGACAAACTCATACCAATACTCCTCAAATTGCTCCACACAATAGAAAAGGAACATTGACAAACGCTTTTTTAAAAATTATTTTATTTATTTATTTATTTATAAATTTTCCTCTTCCTCCCCTCCTCCCAATACCGTCCCACTCCCCCCACTCCCTCCAGACAGAGGGCTGATCTCCAAAATATACAAAGAATTAAAGAAATTGATCATCAAAAGAACAAATAGTCCAATAAAAAAAATGGAGTTCTGATCTAAACAGAGAACTCTCAACAGAGGAATCCAAAATGGCTGAAAGACACTTAAGGAAATGTTTGACATCCTTAGCCATTAGAGAAATGAAAATCAAAACTACTCTGAGATTCCATCTTACACCTGTCAGAATGGCCAAGATTAAAATCACTGATGACAACTTATGCTAGGGAGGATGTAGGGTAAAGAAAGAAAACACTCCTTCATTGCTGGTGGGAGTGTGAACTGATTCAGTCACTTTGGAAATCAGTAAGGCGATTTCTCAGAAAATTAGTAAGCAAACTACCTCAACACCCAGCAATAACATTTTTGGGTATATACCCTAAGCATGCTCAATTATACCACAAGGGCGCTCAACTATGTTCATAGCAACATTATTTGTCGGAGTCAGAACCTGGAAACAGTCTAAAGCCCCTCAAACAAAGAATAGATAAAGAAGATGTGATCTGTTTATACAATGAAGTACTACATAGTAGAAAAAAACAATATGTTGAATTAGCAGACAGATGGATGGATCTAGAAAACATCATATTGAGAGAGGTAACAGATCCAGAAAGACAAATATAATATATACTCACACATAGTGGCTTTTAGACAAAAAAAACCCACTTTATTATTTCAGAGAACCTAGACAACAAAGAGAGATATACATGGATCTAATCTACATGGGAAGTAGAAAAAGACCAGATCTCCTGAGTAATTTGGGAGCATGGGGATCATGGAAGAGGGTAGTA